GGGGCTCCCGCAGCCTCCCCGACTCCGGCCGCGCCTCCCCCTGCCACCGGGACGGGGAGTGGTTCATCAAACTGCTGCAGGCAGAGGTGGAGAAGATGGAGGGCTGGTGCCAGCAGATGGAGAGGGAGGCCGAGGACTATGACCTGCCCGAGGAGAGTGAGTCAGGGGGCTGTAGGGTCCTGTAGAGCTGGGGGGCACAGTCACAGTCCTCCCTTAAAACGTCTCCTCTGCCACGGCTGAAGAGGTTGGGTGAGGGCAAGACACGTGGGGAAACCCTCTGGGGCTAGAGGGGTCTGGAGGAGGGAGGAGACGTGGCATGTGTTGGAGGGGTCTGAGCTGCTCATGCTGTCCCACTGCCCTGGGGGTGCAGGTCCGCAGTGCACAGGGGAGAGTCTCTGTGCCCCCCAGGATTGCTGAGTGTCTGCTCTCCCCCCCCAGTCCTGGAGAAGATCCGGAGCGCAGTGGGCAGCGCCCAGCTCCTCATGTCCCAGAAGGTGCAGCAGTTCTACCGCCTCTGCCAGCAGAACATGGTGAGTGTGGGCAGTGGTGCTGGGGGTCAGCTGTGGTGGGTCGAGGGTCTCATTCCCTCAGACAGTGGAAAACAGATTTTGTACCACCATGGAGGAGAGCTGGACATAGAGCCCCACCCTGCACTGGGGGATGGGATGTCCCATGGGTTGACATGGATGACACTGTGTCCCTCTGTCCCCACAGGATCCCAATGCTTTCCCTGTGCCCACCTTCCAAGACCTGGCTGGCTTCTGGGACCTCCTGCAGCTCTCCATTGAGGACGTCAGCATGAAGTTTGCAGAGCTCCAGCAGCTCAAGGCCAATGGGTGGAAGATTGTGGAGCCCAAGGTAAGGGCAGTGCCACTGGTACTTGTCCCTGTCACTTCTCCCTCCCTCCTCCTCCCCAAACACATCTGCACCCAAACCACTGCTGGGCTGCCTCTGGCAACTGCTTTTAGCAAACAGTGGAAAAACAGACCTGGGAAAAACTGAGGCAAAAGAAGGGCTGTTCTCCCACTGAGGTATCCCAGCTGCCTGCAAGGGGCTGGGCAGGCTCCTGGCACGGGATGGATGAAGGGATGAGCAGTCCTGCCTTTCAACTTGGGCACATGTGGGAGGGTCTGTGGAGCCCCTCACCGTGGCTTTGGCACCCACGGCACTCCTGTTCACCGGCACTGGCTGGGATGCCCAGCCCCGGCAGGTCCCAGCCTGAAGCCCCTGTTGTCTGTGCAGGAGGAGAAGAAGGTGCCTCCCCCGATACCAAAGAAGCCGCCGCGCTCCAAGGTGCACCCTGTGAAGGAGCGCTCCCTGGACTCGGTGGACCGGCAGCGGCAGGAGGCCCGCAAGCGGCTCCTGGCGGCCAAGAGAGCCGCGTCCTTCCGCCAGAGCTCGGCCACCGAGAGCGCGGACAGCATCGAGATCTACATCCCCGAGGCACAGACCCGGCTGTGACCGC